CCATGAAGACTCACCAAAATTGTTGAAATATTTCCGTTGTGGATTAACGATGGCATTGATCGAAGCGGCAATTCCTTGTAGAGGAAAATAAGAAAATAGAAAGAGCAGAAACAGAATCGAAATTGAACTCCGACATTTCGGACTCATCGTGGTGTGCTTTCTCACAAATCAACTTCCCAAAGCAAAGAAAATCCGAGAATAGTAGTCATCGAACGATAGCATTCCTGAGATCTGGTAATGGCAGTCAAACTCCCATTACCAGCGAACACATCAAATCATGCGCGCTTTCAAGGCTCCACTTTATTCACAGTAAATGTGGTTCAAACTCTTTAAACAAACCGTTTCAATCCCCCTTGCATTTATGTGTAGCTTTCCACCGGAATTGGGGGCACAGCGTGTGCGCATTGAACGCGGCAGTCTTGTCGTGCAACACAGGATGACAGTCCAATGGCAATACGCAGGCAAATGCGCCGTTCTGATTGGTCATCATCATCATGTGATATTTTCTTATAGACAGGCGTCAAACGGAACGGATTTAGATTGTTTCTGTTTTGTTTGATAAAAAACCGCGCATTGAACCCGCTCGATTTGACCGATTCAGAGGCTGGATTGAGAGGTGATGTAGTGGAATATATTTATGAATTTAGGTGACTGGAATGCCGAAACGATACCCACATGGTACAGAATTAAATAATCCATCCTAAGCCATTGCCGGTTGATTTATCTGACTTTTTATAAAAAAGAAAGAATTTCAATAGAATGTGATTCTTGTTGCAAAGACAATAAAAATTGAAAGAAAAATTCTCCAATTGGATTTGTGCAGCCGTGAAATTTTTGAGTAAAACTAAGTAGATGCAATTAGACCATGAAAGGAGTGAAAAAGTCTGAAAAAGTTATCCACTGAAAGTGTAACCCGAAAGATGGATGGAACGAACGTAATCAAACATCTCCAGAAGTGTAGGAAAGCCAGCATGTTTAGTAGGGTGTGATCGGAAAACAATTGCTCACCACAATCACAGAAAATGTATTAATAACTGCACTCACGTGGTCTGACCAAAAACAATAAAGAACGGGAACAAGCACCAATTTATTTTCACGCTGGATCCTCATCTTTGGATCAAATTATCCACAGTTTAGAGTACTGATGAGTGACGTCGGGAGAGGCATGTTAATAAGAGGTTAGGATGAACGTGAAATCAGTGTACAAGGATTACGCTCAGCTAACAGCTGCCATTCGACATTGGAACATAATATAGTGGCATCTGTTTGCTACCAGGTCCCAGACTATCTATATGATCGGTAGTATGCAGACGTAATCCTACGGCTTTGGGAAGACCTACGTAAGTCACAAGCTTTTGTGGATACTTTAAATGCTAGTTTATGCTCAGCTTGTGTTTTGCACTGTTCAAATTGCACAATATTCTTACAGGACTGGATTTGATACAGCCTCCGAAGTCATTCTTACCGAGGAAGTTATAAAGAAGATAGACAAATTCTTCATTCTGGGCGGCTGTATATCATCCGGCGGATGAATAAAAGAAGAAATCCCTACATGCCTACGGAAGGCTCGAGTGACATTGTACGACGGAAATAGAGATTGTCGATATTCAAACACCAGTGTCTGCACCGGGTCTGTGCACTCTGGTTAGAAAACGGCACAAGCAACGCTGATGTTTAGGGAATCACGGTCTCCCACTGAAGCAAATGGTTATGTGAAGTGTGTTATGCATGCTATCAACTAGACGCACTTCGCAGGTAATGGGTGGAAATCGATTACGAGTGGCCAAACCAAGACCTTGCATGGAAGTTTGAAAACCCGGACCAAATGATTTGTTCATCTAGATCATTTCGGAATTCGTGGATGGGAACATTAGGTCCAGCGTCACCAAGGATTAAACAAACCGAGTGATATAAACTAACGCCAAAAGGCAGTAGCATCCGTGTACCTTGGCAATCCTTTTGCCACCCTAATTTACGGAAATTCCTTATGTTTACATTGAGACTGACTTCAAATGTCCAATAAGACTTCTACTCCCTTATCCATATGAGTAGTGAAGAGACCGCAACCAAGACCGCCGTACAAAAGCGCATTATTATTGATCATGAAAGCTGCAGCTGACATTACCCCTTATTCTATGCTTTGGCTTGCTTATATTCGTTTCGAGTATTCCATGAAAACAGTGCCAATTATGTATGCGATTCCAACTTTTTGATAACTTGTACCATTACTCACTCCATTATAGAACACACCAACAAGGCACATCCACCCCATTCTGATGGCGCAAACTCTGGTGTGTGGGGGTTCATCACCGAGTGTTGGTATTGTTCAAGCGATTTCATACGAAAAAAGAGAAGACATTCATGTCCTGTCAGTTCTGGACAGTGCGAGGATCTGATAACAAGCTTTGGAACTTGAGGGTTCGAGACTGCGGAGTTTGAACTAATCCAACAGTCATAAGATTGATCGGTTAGTTCAATGTGCTTGTCTGTTGAGTTCCTCGTGCTAGGCTTACAGTCAAATCAGGTGTAGGTGTTGGATCGATCTGTGTGAGCACTGAGCTACAAGTCCGAATCCTGCAAGTCAATTCCTTCAGTTGATTGAACATACACTAATCTGGCCAAAACGTGCATCAGTACAGATGACGAACCAAAGCGTTACTTTGGTATAAGTAAAAATGCGAATAAAAGTTGAAAACGCTGATGCCACCAATACTGGGTATTGCATTGTAATAACATCTGCAGCCATGAAGCCCACATTTC